TGATGAGATAGACAAGGGTGATGTTAGTAAGAATATACCTCTTTAGCTAAGGCGTAATGTTTTCCGATTTCACACCACGTGTCATTCCCTAGAGTAACATTCCTTTGTTTAATGTGTGCGCATGAGAAGACACATAAACATGGATACCACTAAAACAAAGAATCTTATTCTCAAGAGAATGAATTGGTTTGAAATGGCACAAAAAATTGTCCAGCCTTAAGAAAGGAACGCAATATTGTAGATCTAATCTAATCTAATGCGTTTGTCACTTCTTGGTGGACGGCTTGATGCCTAACAGGCCTTGCGACCCAATTGATAAGGCAGCCGGTTAGTACGTGCACTGAAGATGGTCGTCACCAGCGTCTTCAGATGGAGGGCGAGTTATGAAAGGAAAGGGATATCATTTAGGAAGGAAAAGTATGAACTTGCCTTGGTAAAAGTTTCGCCTTTTCCTCCAAGATTTTGATCCACTTTTTAAGTTTTCCAATCAAGTTATGAAGCCCCATCGCACCAGGAACACTAAAAACGACAAAATGTAAAATGTCAGTGTTCAAAAAGATAACAAACAAGTAATGAAAGCAAAGCCAATTAAACTACTTTATATTATATTATTCTATTCATTTTTTTCCGCATTCGTCGCATCACGATTCTCCGTTTTTCAAACTTTGAGCGAGATTTTTGTGCTTTCCCATCGTGTGGTACCTGGACTTATGCGATAAAAAGAAAAGTCCAAACCGGTTTAATCCAAGGTTTCAAGATTTCGGAAACCTTGGAGGGAATAAAGTATGACTTAATCGCAATAACTACACAATAAAACTATCCGGATACCTAGGACTTCTCGGTTAAAGTGCTCACCTAAAATCAAAGTCCGAAGCAAACTGTTCTTTGAGCCGCTGGAATACCGGGTCTTGTGCTGTAGCCTGTGCTCGTCTGGCGAGAGATTCAGAGGCTGCAGTAGAGAGAGTTGTTGATACACTGGACGCAGGTTCGAAGCCGATACCAAATGTGCTGACCAACTTCTTGACAAAACTAAGTGTGTGTGGTGTTATACGGGCACTGGATACTACAAGAGAAGAATATCGGGGGAATAAGCTTCAAGGAAATTAAAGTAATACAAGTCCACATATTCATCTCACTAGACAGATAGCAGCAGACAGGGGAATCAAAAGCTGAGTAGTGGTGGTGCACTCGCCTTCTCCCTCTGGGGTTTTGGGTCCCATTTCTCGAGTCTACATAGTTTTATAGGTTCTCTCATTAGATTTGAGGGGTTTTCTCCTGGATTTTGTTTTTTCTCCCTCTGGGGTCTCGGGTCCCATTCCTCGAGTCTACATAGTTTTATTGTTTCTCTCATTAGATTTGAAGGGGTTTTCTCCGGGATTTTGTTTTTTCTCCCTCTGGGGTCTCGGGTCCCATTCCTCGAGTCTACATAGTTTTATTTGTTCTCTCATTAGATTTGAGGGGTTTTCTCCGGGATTTTGTTTTCTCTCCCTCTACAAAAAATAACCAGCTAAGAGCAGATATTACAGTTACACTCTAYTGCCTTCAAACAATTGTTTCAAGTCGAAGCATTTGGGTCAATACAAAAAATGTATAGAAAGATGACCCAAATGCAACAATTGTTTGAAGGCAGCAGAGTGTAATTCTAACATCTGCTATTCCAATCTGTCCTTACTCTGACTTTGATCAGCCAAACGTTTCACGTGCTGATCAGCCCAGAGGTTGTTTCAGAGCATGGACAAAAGTCGAATGATTAAAAAATATGGTTTTCTTGTGCGCCAAGAAAGTGTCACRAAGCGAGGATGTCATGGCGGAAATCGTGTGTAGCAAAGATTTAAGCGAAGGACACATGTTTTGAAATGGGGAACCTTGTACTACACCCAAATGGATAGTCTTGCTTTAAGGGGTTTATGATAGACGATCGAGATTCGGGATAGAGAAGCTATAGTTACTTCAGCGCATGGTAACTTTTCCATTGCTACTCAGTCCTTTGGGATTAAGTATCGCATATAACCTGAGAAGCATGACTTACCATCACCTCTTGTTTCAAAAGCCACTTGATAGCACTTGGTTAGTCCTTGTCGTAGCTGACGAAGCACCTCTTCATGCCAGCATTCACGGAACCAAACCATCTACAAACAGAACCATTCACGTCATTACCTGGTCTACAGTACCCTCTAGTGCTGACAGGAGAGTAGGGTGGTGGTCCCTTAACACGTGTATTATAATCAGTCATTCATGTCATTACCTGGTCTACAATACCCTC